CCTCCCAGTCTTCCACAAGGCTTCCTGCACTCTGCCAAGGTTTGGCTCTGAGTCTTAGTATCTGTTTCAGTATTCTGCTGGGTGGAGCCTATCAGCTATGCTAGACTCCTGTCTGCAAGTATAATAGAATGTTGTTAATAGTGTTTGTGTTGGCTTTCTCTCATAGTGTGCCCAGGCATTGGCTGGACATTCCCTCAATGTCTGCTCTATCTCTTTCCCTGTATATCTTGTAGTCAGGGTGACTTGTCCTGCGGGCTAGTCAAATAGGGTCCACCTGAAAGAGGGAGTGGAAATTGGGGGACAGAGATGCGAAGAATGGAGATAAGACAGATTCCTGATCAAGTTTCAGTTTACTGAACGTGCAAACACTTATAAAGCAAAGGGTACAAGCAAATTTGTCTCACAGTAGCAACACATCTGTGCCACCTGGCAAGGGATCCAAGGATTCACTCAAGGTTACACAAAGTCTGCTATCTGGTTCCCAAGGTTTCAGGGAGCTTGCTATCTACTTCTCAGGCTCAGAGCACCCAGCCTGCAGAGACCGCCAAGGACAGTCTCTGAGACATGGAATTTAGATAAGACCCGCATCTGCCAAGGCCAGAAGGCAGAATTCCAATTATCAGACTCCTTCAGCAGGGAAGGAGTCAACATTTTTGTAGGTGGGTTGGTGTTCCTGTACCTCTACTTGGATTCCTGTTAGAGGGTGGCCTCTTCATTTTCTATGTCCCCTGCTAGTAGGAGTCTCTGCTAGAGTTACCCCATTATCCTTCCAGAAGCCTATCCTGTTGTGGGTCTCCAGCCTGTCTCAGAGATGCCCCAAGCCATGTTTTCTCTTTTTGCATGTCCTCTGTCTGCCTTATCCCTCTCTGCTGCTCTCCCCACATCAATTCCCACCCTCATTTCTCTCAGAACTCCCTCTTTAATCCTGTTCCCTCTCTTTGAGCACTTCTTCTGTCTTTTCCATTTCCCTTTCTCAGTGAGATTCATGCATCCTCCTTTTGCCCTCCTTGTTACTTAGCTTCATTGGGTCTGTGGATTGTAGTATGGTTATCCTATACTATATGGCTAATATTAAATTATAAATGAGTCCATACTATGTGTGTCTTTCTGGGTCTGGGTTACCTCACTCAAGGTGATCTTTTCTAGTTCCATCCATTTTCTTGCAAATTTAATGACTTCCTTGTTTTTAATGGCTGAGTAGTATTCCATTGTGGAAGTGTACCTATAATTTCTGTATCCATTCCTCAGTTGAGGGACATCTGGATTGTTGCCAGTTTCTGGCTATTACAAATAAAGCTGTTTATGAACATAGTTGAGCAAATGTCCTTGCTGTATGATAGAGCATCTTTTGGTTATATACCCAGGAGTACTATAGCTGGATCTTGAGATAGAGCTATTTCAAATTTTCTGAGAAACCTCCAGATTGATTTCCAAAGTTGTTGTACAAGTTTGCACTCCCACCAGCAATGGAGGAATGTTACCCTTTCTCCACATACTTACCAGCATGTACTGTCACTTGAGTTTTGGGTCTTAGCCATTCTGACATGTATAAAATGATGACTAATGATGTTGAGCATTTCTTTAAGTGTTTCTTATCCATAAGAGATTCCTTTGTTGAGAATTCTGTTTAGCTCTGTTTGTTAGATTGGATTATTTGGTTTGTTGGTGTTTAATTTCTTGAGTTCTTTATATATTTCAGATATTAACTCTTTGTGAGATGTAGAGTTGGTGAAGCTCTTTCAACAATCCATAGGCTGACATTTTGTTCTGTTGACAGTGTCCTTTGCCTTACAGAAGCTTTTCGGTTTTAAGAGGTCCCATTTATTAATTATAGATCTTAGAGCCTGAGCTGTTGTTCTGTTCAGAAAGTTGTCTCCTGAGTTCAAGGATCTTCCCCACCTTCTCTTCAAATAGATTTATTGTCTTTGGTTTTAAGTTAAGGTCCTTGATCAAATTGGACTTGAGTTTTCTTCAGGGTGATAAATATGAATCTATTTGCATTTATCTACGTGTAGACACCTGGTTAGACCAGAACCATTTGTTGAAGATGCTATCAATTTTCCATTGTATGGTTTGGCTTCTTTAGTTTTGAGTACATTTGTTATTTTATGAAAAAGCACAACTCTTCAAGAGTATGAGATAAAATCCAGCTCTATCAATTACATTTTAATTCAATTAGTGCTACTAGGAATCCTCACTAGCTTAATATAAGTAAGTTAGTTCTCATTAATCTTCATGTGGCCATATTTCATGTAGTCATTTTTAAACCCTGTATGATGGGTGCTTCACTTGAATTTTTACCTGTAACATATTTAGTCATTTTAGAAAAAAAAAAAAAAGATAGCAGAATATGCATTGAGTGAGTAAAAAGAAAGGATCTATTTCAACTTAGAAATTATATACTCTATTACATTTATAACCCATGAGCTAGAACTGGTACTGAAAGACTCCCGCTAGAGCCTCTCTAGACAGGGAGACCCCGCTTCCCAAGGAACAGTGAGACCAGCCTTCAGATGCAAGCCGCAAGAGGTTTATTTCAATACACGGGTACCCGGGGCGACAAAGCCTTTCGGAAGACTTGTGCGCCTCTCGGTTGGGGTGACGGGTTTTTATAGGGCTCGGGAGCAAGAAGCACGGTTACAGAAGCGAGAAGCATAGTTACAGGGATCTGATTGGGCGGTTTGAACAAAGCCATAGTTAGGTCACATACCCGGAACAGGGAAGGCGGGAAGGCAGATGTGAGCCGAGTCACGTACCCGGTTCTTATCTTGGGTGCCCAGAGTGTTTCAGGCGCCCAACCGCAGATATCCTGTCGTTGGGCATCTGTCCTGCCTTGCCTCTGACCCTGCACTGCTCCAGTCTTGCAAAATAGTGTTGCCAGCATTATGCTAGGGCTTTATTCTTTCAGTACTATGGCCTTATAGCATGCTGCAACTAGTTCTTGGTGGCTCATGAACGATCAGCTGTACACTTACCTTGCTTATTACATTGAGTGACATCAAATAGGAATCTAGAAATTAGCATGTTACATGTCTTAACCTACATGTTTGAAAATCCAAAAGCTTCCTTCTTTCAGAGAATGGTTTATCAATACCCTCTGATTCTTCTAACAGAAAGGATCATTTGACACCTACTACAGGTGCCACAAACTTGGAAAATAATAACAATCTTTTATGCCTTAGGGTCCAAGGCTATCTAGAAATTGTTATCCTAAACACCTATCTAGAAAAACCATTGAACTTGGAATGAATACCATTTGTGTCTATTGAGTAACATTCTCTATGTAATAGGTGCACAACATTAGTTCCTTGAATAGATTTTATAAATGTAGGCAGGTATTTAGCAAGCCAGCGCCCTTAAATTAGGTAGATCCATCTGTATTCCACCTTGGTGGCTAGGAAAGACTGAACTAAAATGAGGCCTAGGGGGAAACCCCCAGCCACATCTGTAGCTGTCCATGGTGCTTTTCCTGTGCCCTGCAGGTTTTTAGTTCATCCCTTCTAATCACATTTGAATTCAAATATCTAGACTTTGGTCCGCCCTGCTCCTTGTTTCTGTTATATTTGGTTTTAAAAGGAAAGGCTACCTATTCAGAATTCCAGGACGATGGTGGAGTTATATTTGATTTTAAAAGGAAAGGCTACCTATTCAGAATTCCAGGACGATGGTGGAGTTATATTTGGTTTTAAAAGGAAAGGCTACCTATTCAGAATTCCAGGACGATGTTGGAGTTTTAGCATCAAATCATCTCTACTCAATGCTGACTTTACATTACCTTTCCTGGACTCCAGCCCAAATAGTCTGGCAAATGCTAATTCTTAGGTGACAGTGTTATGCTGAGGTAAAGAGCCTGGAGTTAGCCATTGAATCACAGCTCTGTCTCTGCAGTTAGCACACCTTATGCATTTGGACATATAGCTTACCAACTTAGTGCCACAAATTCCTCAACTTTATACTGAGTACCATTGTGTCTCTTCTATAAGTTCACAATAAAATAAAGCAATGAGTTTAAATAAACTGAGTACAGAGGAAAGATCCAATAAGAGAGGTATTACTATTTCAGTCTGCAAACTAAATCTAAATAATTTATTATTTGTGCACATGCTCATCACTTTAGTGCTTAAGTTTTATTCATTATTTAATTCAGCCCCATCCCTTTAGCTGAATAGGCTACCTCATCTTTCTTCTGGGTATTTCTATCACTGGCTTTAGTGCATTATATTAAGCATCTCTATTTCTCTCTCTCCCAGTAGTCAATATGTGAGGTCCATGTTTTTCTCATATTTATATTTCAACACAAGATACCTTTGCTAAAATGCTGCTGAGCCAAGGATAACAGATGGATAAAATGGGGAAATTGTCAGCTCTTGGGCTTATTCTGGCAGTGATGTTACAGAGAAAGAAAACAGGAACACACACACATTCTTAAACACATCAAAATAATCTCCTCAGTAAATATTATATACATATTACTTGTATGTATATGATAAAGAAAAAGAGTCCAGAGGTTACAAATTTGAGAGAGAGCAGGTTGGAGAGGTTGGAGGGAGGAAAGGGAAAGGTTATGTCATTATACTTTAACTAAAAATTAAAAAAAAAAAAGAAATAGGAAACATTTTCCAGAATTGAACTTGAGTGGGGTTTGTGGGGAAATTTTAGTCTTTTATTTCATCAGTGTCTGTTGAACATCTACCGTTTGACAACAGGGAATGTGTGGAGCTTTCAGAGCAACTTTAAGCTTCACTCATTAGCGACTGAATATTTACCTTTGACCACCAGGTATGCAGAATTTACTGAATTATACTTTAGCGCAGCCCACATGAGACAGGCAATGAAGACTTTGCATTTCAGAATGGAGAATCACAGTTAAGTTCAGCTGTCATACCTCAATCAGAGCCCTGACTCTGGCACATCAGTTGTAACCACTCTGCACTTTGCTACACCAGGGCATTGGCTGTAACCAGCATCTGACAAGGCTTCTTTCTCCCTGTATGTTTTAGACCTCCAGCAGTGGAAGGCATTCTGTTCGCATCACCGGTCTCAGCACTATTGATTTCCGAGCTGGCTTCTCCCGAAAGCCCACGCTGGACTTCAAAAAAACAATGAGCAGACCAGTGCAAGGTTTGTATGTGCACAACTCTTAAACTGGCATAAGTGAAAGCTGTGCTCCGCTGGTGTGACTGTGTAGGGTCTAGCATCCATTCGCATCGCCAAGAGCAGCACCCATCTTTCCTTAACGTGATTGTGTCTTTGGGCCACTTTGTGCTTTTCAAAGTGTGGCCTAAGACCACAATGACACTGAAAGCAACAGAAGCTCAAAAGGCCTTTTAAAAATCAAGACTGCCGGGCCCTGATTTAATCTCTGAGTCAGAACTGCAGAAGTTGGGGCCCAGGAGCACATGTGTTAGCTGAGTACTCCAGTGGACTCTTAGCCTTAACTACATTTAGGAAAAATACTTAATGAATTTTAATATTAATAATTTATGAACTGCTTTGCTGAGATGAAGTACATGTATATTGGAAATGAAAGCTACTATGCATTATTTTATGTTCAAAGATGAAATTATTGGTGATTTTTAAGGCTTTTCCTTGTTCTTGTTTTATTTGTCCATTAAGTTTTATTATCTTATAGCTAAAGGCAAAGCTCAGCCATTCTCTGATCTCCAGAAGCTTTTCCAGGTCCTTGCTAACTTATCTTTATTGGCACAGTTTCAATAAGGATAAAAAAGGGAATCCTTAAAAGTATTCATATAATCCTCTATCACATAATAGCTATAATGCTAATTTTCTCTGTGTAAGAACAGTTAAAATACTGTAGGACGATTTGTAGGATGTCTCAAGCTTTGTCTTACTGTCGGGATATTCTGCACACGGGCCATCAGTTTCAGGCAGTGCAGAGTACTCATCTTTACAGTGTATGCAACCAGAGTGCCAACACTTACTCAGCAGGTGACTCCAAATGTGTGACTTTGTGACTCTTTCTCTTGTAGGGGTACCTACCTACGTGCTACTGAACACTTCTGGGATCTCCAGGCCAGCTAGAGTAGATCGTCTTGAACTTCTGAGTATCTCAGGGGGGTCTCTTAAGACCATTCCTGTAAAATATTACCCAGACCGGAAACCTTATGGCATCTGGAATATTTCTGACTTCGTTCCACCAGATGAAGCTTTCTTTCTTAAAGTGACAGGCTATGACAAAGATGATTATCTCTTCCAGAGATTTTCGAGTGTTTCATTTTCCAGCATTGTCCCAGGTAAGAAAATTATTTACTCAACACTGGAGTATTGATAGCTTAAGGAGAATATCCCATAGACATTAAAGAAAAAAAAAACTACAAAGTAAAAGTTAATATTCCTGTGTTGCCAGGTTGATGAGCATTTACGAGCAGATAATTTAGGTTTTCTTTACCTTTATTGTTTTAATTCTGGTGTGATATGCAAAAATTTTAGTACTTACTACAATTTAAAAAATTAAACTTTAAGTATATCACTGCTCCTTTCCTTTTCTTCCCTCCAATTCCTCCCATGTTCACCCCTTCCTTTTTCTCAAATAGATGGTGTCTTTTTCTTTCGTTATTATTGTTCCACACAGAAGTGAATACAACCTCTGAGATCATTTAATGTAGATTTGGTTTGTGTAAATGGTTTCAGAGATGACCACTTTGTATTGTATTAGGAGGTTTATCCTTGGGAAAGAAAAAAAAATTCTCCTTTTTGTAGCAGCCATTACATGCCATTAGTTCTTTGTCTCGGGTTGAGATCTAGTGGGATTACACCCTTCTGCATCATCATGTCTATTGACAATTGTCATTATTCAGGTCTTGTTTAGGTAGCCATATTGTTGAGGTATCCTGGGTATAGCCTTTCTGTCATTTCTAGGAGATACATTCTACAGCAGACTTCCTGGTCCTCTGGATCTTACTATCTTTCTACCCCTCTTCCACAATGTATCCTGAGCCTTGTGTGCGGGGGTTGTGATTTAGGTATATTCTTTGGGACTGGGTGCCCAGGCACCATTGGTGTTCACATTATTGTGGCTTTCTGTAATGGTCTCTCAGTTTGCTGTAAAAATAAGCATTTTTGTTTTTTGTTTGTTTGCCTCTTTGTTTTTTTCTAAATATTTTTCAAATTATAAATTACAACATTTTTCTATTCCCTATTCTCCCTCCAAACCTTACTCTATGCCACCTCTCTCTTTCATATTCATACCCTGTCTTTTTCACTAGTTGCTATTACATCCATATTTAACTTTTAAATAATGCTTCAGAGTTTAATGTTAAATCTTACTGATTACAGATTTGAGAATTTTGGTGACTTTAATCAACAGGAAATGGTGGGGCCCTTTTATCTTCCCTGATTTTTTCAGTAATCTGAGTTGGCTAAACATTAATATGTAATGGTAAAGCACCATCTGTTCCATGAATAGCAGTGAACCCTGGTGTTGCTTCTACCTTGGACTAGTTGGTTGGTTAATTACTAAACCAGTTCTAGATGCATCTCTTCTTCTATAAAGATGTGGTTACAAGACTGTTTCCAAAGCTGAGTGGAAGGCAGCAGCTTATCATTTGTGTATGAGGTTGAGATTTGAAGATTCAAGAGCTATTGTTTAGTTATCATGTAATCATGAGCACAGAGCCAACTTCAAGATTTCCTCATGTTAACATTCAAGTGAGTTGGCCTCACTTCCTATATTGAATGTGTGAAATTTGTTGGATTTTTTCAAAAATACTTTTCATTATTCCTCTTAGGAAAAAAGTTGCCCTGTGTATTTAATTCTAAGATATGCGGAGTCTTCTCATATTTTTACATATTTGGAATAAGAATTTATTGTACAGTTAATGATGTAATGTGACTCATTTGACATTTTTTTTCTTTGCTTGGTAGTGGAGAAAAACTGTGCTTTTAAAATCAATTGAGTCTTTGATTTGATGATTATCATAGTGAGACCTTATGGAGATATCTAGAAATGAATCTGCTTTGAATAATGGTAGTTAAAATAAATTTAGTAATTAAGATTAATTGGAATTCTTGTGGTTTGTCAGATTCACTAAGTGAGAAGCTTGTAGGTGGAGCCTCAGAAAGTACTTACCATCACTGTGACTTTCTTACCTGTTTTCTTTTCTTCCTAGATGCTCCCAAAGTTACCATGCCCTCGAGAACCCCAGGATACTACCTGCAGCCTGGCCAAATACTCTGTTCAGTTGACAGTCTTCTGCCCTTTACCTTGAGCTTTGTGAGAGATGGAATCGCACTGGGAGTAGACCAATATTTAAAGTGTGTAAATGCTCCTTTTAGCAATAGCTTATAGCAAAAACCACGGAAACTATGCTCTTTTCTTGACAAATCGCTTATTTCCTTTACCATTTTGGAATACAGCACTGGGCTGCTCATGCGGTAGTGGGAGGATGGAGAAAGGGGTAGTAACTATACCATGACAATAGAAATTTTAGGATATATTCTGTATAACTCGGGTTTTATACAGTCTGTATTTTATATGATTTGAAGGTCCCAGGTTATGTCAAAGATTACAGAATTACTAACCCAGTGTTAGGTTGCAGACCTTGGAAGGCACTTTGCGAAAGAAAGCCCTAGAAACTTTAGCTTCATTGAATTTGGGCTAAAAAATGTCTATGGCTCTAATTTAAAGAGTAATATAAGAAGTGAATCTAATGTGTGTTATGACAAAAATACAAATTAATTAGAAATATTAACACTTGGTAGGTTATTAATATGCAGCTTTTCAATTCCAAGTAGCCAATTTAAAACTGGACAAGAAGCTAGGCGTGGTGGTGCACATCTTTAATCCCAGCACTTGGGACATAGAGGCAGGTGGATCTCTGAGTTTGCAGCCAGTCTTGTCTATGAAATGAGTTCCAGGACATCCAGGGCTACACAGAGAAACCCTGTTTTGAAAAGCCATCCAACCAAACAACAAAACAACCACAAAATGGGGTGAGAGGCATTTGAACTTGTAATGTTGGTGAGAAAGGTTGTAGAGCACATATCCTGAAAATTTCACCTACCAGTAAGTGGAGATGCAAAAAGGCCAAGGTGACTTGGCAGAAAAAAGGAAAGCAGAAATGAGGATCTCAGCAAACCAGAGAGAGGAAAGGGTAGAAGGCAGTGTCAGGACCTCATTGTCTGCTGAGAATAGAATAGCATGGTTCAACAGGAGCATGTGTGGCTACAGAATAGAGAAAGCAACAGGAGTTGGCTAGAAGGTACCAACTCTTCTGTCTAAAGTTGAGTGACCTTTTATTGACAATTGTAAGTAACCTAATTGAAAAAGATTAAGTATATCTTGAAAAACTAGAAAAATTACTTCTGGAAACTATATTGCCTTTTGAGTTACCAACAAAGCCAGACTGCATTTGGGAGTAAAAACCTCTAAGAATTACTTTAGCAATCCTTTACAATATTAACATAGCTCCAGAAGATATTAACTACTTGACAGTCTTAATTTATATAATCTCTTTAAGGAGATTCATTTTAAGCAATGCTTGTGGCTGGAAAGTTAATCATATCTAGAAAGTTTTCCATTCCCTAACAGCTGCCTGCTCTGTACATAGTACATCTTGGCGATTTACTTGGTTGCCTGTTTTATAACCAGCCACATAACAGAACAGGATATCAGATGATGGAGTCACATAACTAGCTGATGAAATAAAATAACCCTGCTTCCTGTTTAAATAGTGACAGTTTTCAAAGACACTTGAGATTCTTTATAAACATTAACTCATTGATTCTGCACAATTCCTGGGAGGTAAGCCACAAAAATTCTTTTTCTCATGTTTCCAGTACTATGGCCCTGAGATGGGACAGGCCTTGCTGACATGAATTAAGCTGTGAGTGATGACAGAATCATACTCTAATCCCAGTTCACTCACATGCTTTTGCCGTAGATTCCCAGTAACATGAAACATGGGACTTAATCCTTGTGTCAGCCACTTTGGCCGTCAGAGGATGCGAGAGGGGTCAGTTTGCATTAGCAGTGTGCACATCTCCTGGACATGCACCTTCTCCTGTTTTGAAGTCCATCTCTGGAAACCCCCTTTTTTTAGTGTGCTATTAGAATGCTTATGTCAACAGAGAAGGCTAAAATAAAAAGAATGAGTAAGTCAGACATATTGGCACTGCCTTCAGTCTCAGCACTTGAGAGGCTGAGGCAGGGGGATTACAAGTTTGAGCCTGGTTTGGGCCACATGGCAAGACCCTGTCTCAAACTTTTGTTTTTACTTCTTGTAGCAGTTCCTAAATAAGAGGGCTACTAGTCAATTATAGCTGTAAAGAGTATTCTTAAAACAATTAGTAAACTGATTAGCCACCCTTGGACAAAAGAATTGCCATTCAACTTTTCTTTTAAAATGAAGGATTTGAGCCTAGATGAATTTTCATTTTCTGTTCCAAAACTTTCATGAACCCAAGGTTTGATGTATTTGGAAGTATGTTCAGCCCTGAGCTAGGTATTGCAGAGGACACCCAAGATGTAAGCACTCCAAACTGTTACCTTTCATGTGACTGCCAGTAGCCGCTAGAGAAGGGCATTTGCAAACTTGTGCTTAACCCTGCTGTAAAGTGTGAAGAGTAAAGAGACACAACCTGAGCATCTAGGGCAGTGCAGAGTTGAGTGAGACTGTTTTCCTCGAAGCTAACAGTAAGGGCCGCTGGTCCACAGTTCACACAGAATGGACAGGAAACATTAGCTGAAATATCCTGAGCTACCACAGCACACAGAACAATGGTTGCTGAGGCACTCATGTTCTTGATGGTAGAAACCCATGCTTAACTTATTGTTCCAAATGCTGTGTTAGGGCAGAACACAGTATCTGAGCTCAGTAAGCTCTTCATGGTTGTTTTGTTGAGTTGTGTCTGGGTGTGGAGAGATGTGGAGACTTAAGTGCAATCAGAAGTCAGTGAGAGGTGTCTCAGATCTGCAGAGCACTTTTTTGTTTCATGTGTTTCTTCATTTTTTAAAATAAAAGATTATGAATAGCAATGGATGATAAAATGGAAATATATAAAATATTCATATTCACCTGTATTTTTAAAAGAATAAGGCCGACTTTTGTACACATTGGACTTTTTAAAGCAATAATGAAATATCTATCTTTTTAGACTGCTCCAGAAAATGAGAAGTTTGCTAGTGAATGAATCAATATTTGTTAGATGGTCAAATGCATGAGTTTGTGGACAGAACTAATGTATTTTTTCAATTTTCTCATTGCTTATTGTATTCATATATATATATGCTAAATAAGATATAATACATAACTCCAGGTGGAACTTACATGAGAAAGTTAAGGAAAATGTATTTTCTTTGAGTTAGAAAGCTGGTGTCTTCCCTTCATATTTGTAAATTACCTTGTTCTATTGAATTGGTCATAATTATCAACTCCAAACTGAAAAGTATAGGGGAAGAAAGAAATTTCATCACTGGTTGTCAATTTGGTATGTTTTCATACAGGCAGAAAAAAAATCCTAAAGATAAATTTGCATTTTTACAACCCATTATCTCTTGTACATTGCTGTGCTGAATAGAGAAGCATAACTGTTTAAAATACCAAAGGTGTATGACTTTAAGTTCAGATGTAATCTGCAGTTTTCAAAACCTAACTTTCTTTACATTATTTGTCGGAATGGGACCTTCAAAACAAATCATTTATTATTGCTTTCAGTTTTCTCTCATTGACAGACACTAAAAGCGTTCTCTTTTCTTGCCCCCAGAGAATCTGCCAGTGTGAACTGGGACTTCAAAAAGGTCACCTTGTCTGATGAAGGCTTCTATGAGTGTACCGCTGTGAGCAGCGCAGGAACTGGAAGGGCACGGACATTTTTTGATGTATCAGGTAACCATCACCTGCCTATAAATGTGCCTGTGGAAATGAGATGTTGGTAACCTCCTGAGTTTGTAGGGTTCTCCTCCTGACTGTGTGTGATTGTCTCTCTACTACGGTGTGAGCTGAGTTGTTGGCTTCCCCATCCCGCCTTTATGTCTTTCCTTGTGACATACTTTAAGGACTTGACCCCTTAGTTCTCTGACTCTGAAAGGGTAAGAACAAAGGGATGTTCTGTTCTGTAGATGGCTGTTTGTGATACATGAGGGGTGCTTAGAAGGCAGTTTGAAATGTACATGTAATAGATAGTTATTACTAACTTTTCCATCTAAGATTTTATTTTTACTTTTCGTTGTGTGTGTGTGTGTGTGTGTGTGTGTGTTTTGTATCTATATGTATGCAAGTGCCTGCAGAGACAGCCAGGGGCATTGGATCCCTTAGAGCTGGAGTGACAGGCAGTTGTGAGCTGCCCAACCTGGGTGCTGGGAATCTAGCTCTACGTGGTTTAGGGCAGTACAAGCTCTTAGACACTTAGCCCCCCTCTCCAGGTCTACTTGATGTTATCATTGTTGCTACTGTTGCCACCACAGTTTATCTGAGATTCTGATTCCAGAGGTGCATGGTGGGGAAGCCCAAGTGCCCTGTGTGGTAGTGGAGCAGGAAGCTGAAAGCTCACACTGTGGACTTGTAGGCACATAGCAGAAAGCAAACTTGATGTGGCAGGAGTCTTTCAATGCTCAGAGCCCACCTCCAATGACATACTTCCTCCAACAAAACCAGACCTCCTAAGCCTCCCAAGAAAAGGCCCACCAACTAGGGACCAAGGGTTCCAATAAGTGAGTGTGGGGGACATTCTCATTCAAACCACCTCAGTAACCATATGGTGTTGCCCTTAGAGAAGATAAGAGTTTAAAGTATTGATCTATTCTGAGAATAAAAAGAGGAATAAACTTTTTCTTTCTTTGATGTGTGATGATCACAGTGTTTTTATGAGTAGATTCTGACCTCCAAATTTACCATGATGAAACTAAAAATTGTCTGGGAACACAGAGCCTGTTTGGATAGAATCTAGTGTAAAGAAGGACAAATATGATGCCAGTCATTTTGTATTCAGACAGTAAGTTCCTGTGTATAGATGGGAGGCACAGTATATGATATTTTATGCATAAAAATACATCTGTAAAAAAATATTGTCCTTTAATTTCCCAGAATAATTAGGGAAGTAGGCTGTGACATATAATCAATGATCAGGATCAAACACCTACTCAGCATAATTATACTTTTTGGATCCTTTTTATATCCTGGGGATTGAATCAAGGGTCTCACATAGAAAGATGCACCTTAGATAAATCCACAGCCCAGAAACTTCATTTTAACTGAATTATTTTATTCCTGCCTTGTGTTGTCCTGTACTTAATCGTATCCTAGTCTGACCCTCGTGTCGTGGCTTTCAGTGTGTATTTTCCTAAGATAATTTAAGACAAAAGAAATGTTTTAATTAGACAACGGTTTAGAATCTTAGAATTTGTTGTGTCCAAGCTGAACTTGGCAAGAGAGACATGTAAATCAGGCAGGCGTGTTCTTTCAGTGAAACTATTTGTATTCTCTTATTCTTAGGAAAATAAAGATTGTCTTCTGTAATAAGTTAAGCAAGTTGACATACATCACAAACTATTTATTTTTTCATCTCCAGAAATTATGAAAAGCCCTGGAATTGTGTCAACATTCCTCAGCATTCCTTAGCTTCTGGGAAAGCAAACACTCCAATGTTCTTCCCAGCAATGTTAATTAGAAGGAGGGCAGGAGGTAGAGAGGCTTCAGCAAGCTGTTTCAGGCATCTTGTTAAGTAACTGGGAGATGCCAGTAAGGATGTGTGAACTGACTTAGGAAGACTGCTAGGCAGTGCCAGGTGCTTCCTCTTGCCTCTGTCGCATATGCTGTACTCGTACTCCTCTGTGCCAGCCAAGCAGTGGCATGACTGGGGGGATGGGCTGCTCCCAAGCTGGTGTCCAGGAATTCTTCTCATTTAGTCACCCATGGACAAAGTCTGAAAGCATCAGTGGTAATGGCAATGGCTTTGAGAGCAAGAGTAACGGCCAAGGGCTCCTTAGGGTTTGAAAGAGTTGGCATTTCTTCCAAGGGTGGTGATTTGCTTAGCACACCAGCCATTAGCTTTTATCTACTTCTCACTTTCCCTTTGCTTAGGATAATGTCCAGCTCAGCCACCATACTGTCTTTATGTACCTAAATCTTGGAATCTTGCCTAGGTTAAGGTCTCAGCTCAGCCACCTTGAAAGCAAATCTTAATTTGAGATTATTATAATCTTTTAGAACGGTGGTTCATAACCTTCCTAATACTAGGACCCTCTAACACAGTTCTTTATTCTGTGTTGGCCCCCGACCATAAAATTATTTTTGTTGTTAGTTGCTACCATTATGAATTGTAATGTAAATATGTTTAGATATAGAGGATTGCCAAAGGGTTCATGAGAGGTTGAGAACTGCTGTTTTAGAACTAGGGAAGACTTGGAAACAACCTTAGAACATCTCATTTATAGCCAAGGAAACCGAAACCAAGAGTGACCGACTGCACCATTCACAGTCAGGAGGCCACATGCAAGAGATTCTTGCAGAGAGGCCTATGTGTGGCTTCTTGATCCGGTCACGTTTTTTGCTTTACATCTCCAGCCTATGCGTGTTGTTTCCTGTCTCTGTACTGGGGTTCCTTCTCTGACCATACCTTTAATCATGGTATTACTTAATTGTGCTTATTTTTCATTATGCTCTAGAGAGTAGATAATTTTTGGTAATTTATAATCTTAGCCTCCTCCACGAACTGGTACACAATTTCTCTCATCCGTCTCTGTTCCCATATGTACTTACGTATGTACAAATATTCATTATCTTTGTGCACTAGTAGTATGATACCTTGTTATTTCAACTTTTGTTGGCCCATGATATTATCATTAAAATGTCATTTCACTCATTTTAACTTTTGTTGAAGAGGAAATGGAGTGAGGCAGAGCATGCTGGAAGAGTGTTATTGGAGTTCATTGGGGAAAATACCTGTGAGTATGTGAGGGCAGAAGAAAGACAGGAGCTATGTTCAGAAGTTGTATTTGATTTCAGGGTTGACTGCATTATTTTGGATAAACAATTAGGAGACTCATCCCTGGGAGAGTCTTTTTCTCTCTGTTATTAGTTTCCTGTAGTTCTTTGTCTAGGGATGTGACCCGGTGAGTTTCTTCTCTTCCACATTAATGTAGTTACTGATACTGTCATTGTTCAGGTCTTGTTTAGCCAGCTGTGTTGCTGAGGTATCATGGGTACAGTTTTCCTGTCATTTCTAGAAGATAGCCTTACAGCAGACTTCCTGGTCTTCCTAAAGTGTGTCCCTCACTCAGCCTTTTAAGATGAAGTTCTTCCTCATCTTTACTAGGAGAGTGTTTGTCTCGCTGTATGGTCGAACTGTTTCTTTTTACTGAGAATACAACCCCTCTGAAAGGTGATGTTGCCGTATCTTGGCATGTCTATCATCTGTTGGGTGCTGTGTTCTTTAAAACACTCAGTACCTATCTTTACATTTGAGCAACCAATAAATTCTACTTTCATCAAAACAAATGAAAAACCTGCGTCATGCCATAATTCTAAGTCCTTCCAACCATACCCTTTTGCCAAGCCAATTCAATGCTCACATTTATAACACAGAGATCTAGATTTGGTATGGACAGGTATATTGCCTTCCAAAGTGTCACGTAACCAGACGATAATTTGGGGGTCTCCTTGGTATAGGCATCAAGCAAGAGTTTCTGTTATATACTGAAACCTCCTGACAGATTTTTCTGTGCACATTTATATATGCACATTCTGAAGACACATGTATAAATGAACAAAACTGCTTTTTGGTTTATTGATTTGAGTCTTTTAATATCACACAGAGCCACCTCCAGTCATCCAAGTGCCTAATAATGTTACCGTCACTCCTGGAGAAAAAGCAGTATTGGCATGTTTTGTCATCAGTGCTGTGGATTACAATCTCACTTGGCAGAAGAGTGGTAGAGACGTGCGGCTCGCAGATTCTGCAAGAATTAGGACCTTGGCCAACCTCTCGCTGGAGCTGAGGAGTGTAAAAATTGGTGATGCTGGGGAGTACCGCTGTATGGTTTCCAGTGAAGGTGGATCAGCCGCTGCTTCGGTTTTCCTCATAGTGCAAGGTACTGTGCTGCTAGCAACTTCTGCCCTCAGGCGTCTGTCTGTCTTCCCTCCTCAGCTTCTCACCTTACCTGTGTGCTATGTAAGAGTTACAGCGTCTACCCAAACAGTTCTCTGTGAACGAAAGAATGGTTGGGATGGTCAGATGTTTAAAGATGACTAAACTGGAAACTAAAATATCTCTAAGTAGATAGTTTTACTACAGTCATAGCTGAACCTGCTAGTTGCAGATGTCCATTTTAGGAGAAGATGTAAAATTTCCCCGGATGTTTTGATCTTTCAAGTTCTCTAGTCTACTATGAGGATGTCAGACAAGATCTGTGCTCAGGATGGTGTGACTCTAGACATCCTCTCATGGATTTCAGTCAAATTTTAATTGTTTTCATAATTGCCTTCAAAGATTCAATCTTCATTTAAATGTTATACTAGAAGATAGATGATTAATTTGAAATTTTATTTTTAATTTACATTTAATAGGATTTTGGTTATTTATTTGAACTAACCCTTGTGGTAGTGGCCGTCATTTGACCTAATTCTATTTATTTATTTAGGATTTTAAAACTTATCCTTACACTACCTCTGGACCACAGCTCCCCCTCCCCTGCCCCTCCACTCCTCTAGTCCCCTCCACTTCCCTGCTGCCCCATATGCACTCCCATATCTCCCCCCAGAGAAGAGCAGACTTACCAGGGACACCGACCAAGCACACTGCAGCAAGATTCAATAAGACCATGCACAAACCCTCACATCCCGGCTGGATGAGGAGACCCAGAAGGTGAAAGGGGTCCCAAAAGCAGCCTAAATAATCAGAGATCACCCCTCCCACATTCTCCCACTGTCAGGCCAGTAGGTGAAAGGGGTCCCAAAAGCAGCCTAAAGAATCGGAGACCCCCCCCACACACACTCTCCCACTGTCAGGCAAGTAGGTGAAAGGGGTCCCAAAAGCAGGCTAAAGAATCAGAGACCCCCCCACTCTCCCACTGTCAGGCCAGTAGGTGAAAGGGGTCCCAAAAGCAGGCTAAAGAATCAGAGACCGCCCCCCCAACTCTCCCACTGTCAGGCGTCCGACAAAAACACCAAGCCAACAACTACAACATACATGCAGACGGCCTTGGACAGACACAAATTCTGGTAGAATTCACACAAATGAGTTTTAATTGAATGGTTGCATACATACATATCCTTATGTTTTGTTCTTATTTGACCCACAATGACCTCCTCATGCTCTTTCTTTATTTTGGAGTTCTTCCCATCCTAAATAAGATTTCCTCTCCCTTCATGATATATACATTCCATTATCTTTCCTCTCTTTAGAGTTCTCTCTTTCCACTCACAATCCCCATCCCCCTTTATTATCTTTCTAATATGTATCAGTATCTCTCTATATATATAGTATACATATATGTGTAATTAAAATATAATCTCATATATCAGAGAAAACATGCAACATATCTTCTTTAATTTGGCTAATTTTACTTTGGCGTAATAATCTTCAGTTATATTACAATTTCATTTTTCTTTATAGGTGAATAAAATTCCCTCATGTTTATGTACCATTTATTTTTAAATCCACTCATCTTCAATCTCCAAGCTGGTTACATTTCTTGGCTATTGTAAAAAGTGTAGCGATAACATCTGTATACAAGAATATCAGTGCTGTGCTCCCTTAAAGTTTTTGGTCACATGACCAGGTGCAGCATACCTAGATTACGGTGTAGTTTTATTTTTAGTGCTCCACGGAACCTGTGGACAAGTAGTGTTGCCAGTACTTTACTGCTCAGAGCAGCACTGGAAGGCAACACAACACCTGACTTCAAATCATACTGTAGAACCAGGTAACAAAACTACCAGGCTCCTAGGAGACAGAGTAGGACCTTGGCAACCTCTTGCTGGAGCTGAGGACTCAGAAAAGAACCCTCACAGTTATAGCCATCATGTAATCTTTGACACGATAGTGTCTAAGGAACTGGTTTCCTTAGTGGCTATAGAAATTTGTATTCCCATCAGTAGTGACTAAAAATTTCCACTTATCCACATCCTAGATTCTTTTGTTGTCACTAGTTTTCTTGATGACAGCTATGCTGACCAACTAGGAGAGATGGGGTCTCAGGGTAGTTTCTATTTTTATCTTCCAAACTTTCTTCAAATATTTATTGACTATTTGTGTTTCTTCCTTTTAGAATTGTCCAATTCAGTAGCCCATCATTGGTTGGATGCTTCGTTTTTATATTTAATTTCAAAGTTCTTTATAGATTCTTGATGTTAATCCCCTAGCTGATATATAGTTGGAAAAGAATTTTCCCCATTCTGTAGGCTGGTAATTTCTTATGCTTTTCAATTTCACACAATCCCATTTATTTGTTGATTCTTGGGATTATTATTTTTATACTGTTGCTGTCATTTTCAGAATGTTTACATCCATGATTGTATTTTAAAATATTTTCTCCTAGCATTTTCAAACCTTTATGTTTTCTGTTATGCTCATGAATCCATTTTGAATTGATTTTTCATAAAGCATAAGAAATATAGTTTCATTCTTTTACATGGATATCGAGTTTTTTCAGCATATTTGCTGGCTGCTTTTTAAATTTTTTTATTTTTTTATATTAATTACAGTTTATTTATGTGTATCCCAGCTGTAGCCCCCTCCTGCTGGCTGCTTTTTTTCAGTGTATACTTTACACACCTTTGTCAAAGATTACATGATGATTATAGCTGTGAGGGTTCTTTTCTGGGCCTCCTACTCTACTCATTGTCTGCTGGGAGCATGGGGTTTGTGACCTGGTAGTATAGTATAGTTTGAGATCAGGTATTGTGAAGCTTCAGGAGTTCCTCTGAGTAGTATTGCGCTGATAACTTGTGTTCTTCATGTTTCTGTATAAATTTTAGGGTCACTTTTTCTAGTGGTGTGAAGAATGTTATTTGAATGAATTACATTGAATCTGTAGATCACTTCCAGGAATACAGTCATTTTCAGAATATTGTTTCTGATGATCCTTGATGACGAGAGGCCTTTCTATGTTCTGGGATCTCATTTAACAATATGTATTAGTAAAAATACTAAAGTATAATAATAAAAATAGAGTAAGAAGAAACACAAAAGAAGAAAACATGAAAAAGGGTATGAAGTATTGTTTGATTGGCTTCTTTGGAGTCTTTGAAAATTGGTGACCCTAGGCAGGTGCAAAGGTCTGGTCAGTTGAACTTCTGAACACTTCTTTCCTATGACTTAATATGGTGCCTAGCCTGTATTGGACAAACATCCAGTGCCAGAACTGTCTTCCCTTTAGTACCATGTTTTCTTTGCCTATCTGGGACTTCTAGCCACACTCAGCTCTGCACTTTCTGGGCTGGTCAGGATTTCCTACCATTTAGGCTTGTGTGGTTTCTACATCTTTGTGTGGCCACTGGGGAGAATCTTCCCAGAGTGCTATGGGGGAGAAAGCAACCCCAACACTGAGATCAGTTTATGTGGACCAGTCTTTGTGCTCCCAAAAGCCGCTTAGCATTACTCCCCCTGCTGGAGATATGAGGCTGTGGACAACAAGCAGTCTCCTGGAGCCTTGGAGGTTTTGAAGGCTTCATGAGTGAATGTGACAGGTGATTCCTGAGATCACCCGCATGTTAGCCCACATCCTCGTTATTCTATACTGTTCAGGTCTGCAGGGAGGTGAGACCAACTTCCTCTCTATACCCTTCCCTGCATATGCTAAGTTTCATGCTGCCTGCATTTTAATCTTGTCAATGGCCAACCTTCACACCCTCTGTAACTGGTTTTCAGGGTTGTCTCTCACCTTGTGTCTGTAGCATGTTAAATAGAGGCACCCTGACTTGTGACTGTTCCCTCTTTTCAGGTCCCCCATGGTAACTCAGTTTAAAATAAAAGTGCACCACTGCCCTTTAAGCTGTCTAGTCTCTGTTGGTCCATTTCTCTGGAGAAAACACTATTTCAGTAAGACCTACATCTGGATTTGAGGCTTGTGAGTTGTAGGCTTGCACTATGAATAGGACTGGGTTGTGTGTCTTTTCCTGGGAAAGCATCAACTAATGTCTGTTCGTCCTGGATGGAACATTACTGAGGGAGGCTTCTACTCCCCTTCTGTACCTCATGGATACCATGTAGCTGGACCTGTGCCCAGCCTGACCTTCTTCTTGATGCTTTGCTCTTCTATGTCCCTGCATATCCCAGCTGTCTTACTGCTTTTGTGGCTTTCCAAAGCTCTGCAGTTCTTTCTCTTTGGAGGATAGAATTAAATTCTCTTTTCTTGACATTTCATCACTGTGTTGCATGGAAGCAGCTTCTAACTCTGCTGTCTTGCTGAGAAGTCTACTAGTTCTTTTCTTTGTATGACTCCATATGCATGCAGTGGCACATATGTGTGTATGTATGAAGTATGTGTGGATGCATTTGTACATGCGTATACATGCCACAACCTTGGGTTTTATTCTTTATCTACCTCCCACCTTTTCCCATCTATCTATCTATCTATCTATCTATCTATCTATCTATCTATCTATCTATCATCTATTTGTTTGAGACAGGGTCTCTCACTAGCCTGGAGCTTACCAGGTGAGGTAGGCTGGCTGCTCAGTAAATCCCAGGTATCTTCCTTTCTTAATTTTCCCAACGCTGACATTAAAACCCAATCCACCAGGCCTGATTTTTTTTTTAATGTGTACTCTAAGGACCAAGGTCAGCTCTTTAGACTTGTAAAGTAAACATTGTACTGACTGAGCTGTCTTCCAGACCTCAACTGATACGTTTTAAATACAGCTTATAATAATTCTAGCATTGGTGTGATTTTGTTACAGCTTATTCAGATGTGTTTGAGCACTATTTTTATCTCATATGTACAAAAACACATGCAAACACTCGTACACAGGCACTCTCTGAAAGCAAAGCCTGCCTAGACTGAGTGTTCAGATCACTGAAATGGGTGTGTTACTAGTGCAGCTTAATAACTGCTCTTTGTTGTTTTTGACGGCTGTGCATATGAAGACC